TGTTGTTGTTGTTGTTGTTGTTGCTGCTGCTCATTTAAATGCTGCTGTTGTAGTTGCGCGACCCCTTGTGAGCTTAATGTAGCGATAGTTGTTGATGCGGTTTCTGACTGTGTTAATGGCAGTTGTGGCAAATTATGGTGCGGAGAATGATGGTAATAATGTTGTTGCTGCTGTTGTAATTGAAGTTGTTGCTGTTGCTGTTGCTGTTGTTGGTGATGGTGGTGGTGGTGGTGGTGGTGGCGGTAATGGTGAATTAAATTACAACTATTACATGCATCATGAGTTGTACTGCCTTGATTTATAGATGCACACTGCTGCAATGTGTAGCAGTTACTATTTGATGGTAGACATATTGTGTTGGCAGTACATTCTTTTATTGATGTGGTTGTTGTTGCTGTTGCTGTTGGTGTTGGTGTTGGTGTTGGTGTCGTTGGTGCCGCACATATTTGACTTTGATTTGATTTCTGTTGTTTTTGATGATGATGATGATGATGATGGTGATGGTGATAAAAATGGGAATGATGACATGACGGTTGGTGGTGTTGCTGATGTTTTTGTTCACTTTCCATAGTAAGAGTTGTTTGTTGCGTTTGTGTAGGGCTTATCGGTTGCTCATCTTGTAGTTGTAATTGTTGCTGTTGTTGAGCAAATGAATGCGGTGATCTTCTACTTGACTGCTGTTGCGTATAATAATTACTTTCCAGTTGACTATAGGTTTGCGTATATTGTAGCTGATATGCACCGGGTTGTTGTTGTAAATGCTGAGGATGATGAAAATGCGTTAGAGTTGGTATTTGTCTATCGCGACCCACTTGCGGCCCAACCTGAGGACAACGGAATCGTATGGCCTGTTCGTTGGCTGCATTCAAATTTTGTATTGTATTTTTATTTGGCAGTTTTTGTTGTTGTCGCTGTTGGTCTTGTTTAGTATTGTTTGCATGTTTACTTTTCGAGGTTTTATGCTTTCCCTGACTTTTGGGACGTTTCTTACGTGCCATTTGTATGCTTAAAGTACCACCGCCTCCGCCATAATACTTTGACCGTTGTTTGCTTCTGTCGCGCTTGGCTAACTGATTCCGTATTTTGCTACGTTGCCTAGGCCTCATATAACGTAATTGCAATTCCATTTGTGGTCTCAAACAATGACGACACATTGAATTGTTTTTCGTAATATCGAAATCTGTTTCCTCATTGTTTGATGTACTAGTAGTAGTGGTGGTGGTGTTCGTGGTAGTGCTAGTTATTGAAGTAATCTCTTCGGTATCATCAGTTACAGCATTAATGCCTTCCGTTTGCCTTTCCATTTGCCGAATTGTTCTAATTGTGGTGGTAGTGGTGGGGATGGAAATGGTTTTGGTTGTTCTATAACTAGTATTGTTGTTTTCTACTTTAGACTTACATTTCTCAAATTGTGTGTTGGTGTAGTTATAATCTCGTTGTTGCTGTTGTTGCTTGGAATATTTTTTCGGTGCTTTACTATCGTTCTCTTTATCGGCTACAAGATGCCGGTATTTTTTTTTAGACAATTTAACTGTTTTCTTATCTCTTTCGCCTGGATATGGTCAGAATGCAGTATCAAACACTGACATAGATCTTGAAATGGCTTCATCATTGTGACAGGCTTGCAGGAATTCATCCAATGTTACAACGCCATCTCGATTAATGTCCATTTTCTACAAACACAAAAGAAACAAAAAACAAAAGAGAAAAAAAGGAAAGAATAGAACGAACAATCCATAGTAAATGCATTTGATTTTCAACTCTACAAAATAAGTATTTTCTTTAAATTACTAAGTTACGTGACTCGAATTTTACTAAGAAGTAAAATTTAGGGAAAATCAACACAATATCAACAAATTCTTTTTCATTCAGTTAACAATAATTTCATATATGTTCGGTGATAAGGCTTTGCAACTATGTATCCGTAGAATATTAAGTAATTCACGAGAAGAGACCAGTTGGAGTTGTGCAATATTTTCACATTATCATTCATTTATTGTCGATGCAGCCTTAGTTTAAAAGTCAAGCAACCAACTACCTACAATATTTATGTGCATACATATGTTCTTCTAATTTTGTATCAGCACCTGAACACTATATTTGCAATGTACACATACATGTGTATGTGCACATGTTTTAGTTATGTAAAAACAAAAGAACAACAAAGCCGAACAACGTGAAATATTTAATATTAAATTGCGGAAGTTGGGTTTAGTTCATGTGCTTCCTCTCAAGTTACGTACAATTTTGCCAATAAAGAGATATAATGCGATCATTGTGACTACAAAAAACTTGATCGTTGATATAACAGACTCCAGGAAGGCAAATCAATGTATGAATATAACGATATTGTATATTCGGTTGTAAATACAAGCCTTGTGCTTAGACAGCTGCCACAAGAAGGAATGTACGTTAATTGAATTTTGAATGAAACGACACGGCGTTCCGGCGTAAGGCTATTTCTTCGTAATTTAAATAGGATAAGTCATTCAGATGCCACAATATCTACCAGATGTAATATAACTATTACATCAATTTGTCTCCCTTCCCTCGTGAAATGGCGTTATCGCGAATCATTTATTCATAAGAAAAGAGCGCAATACTTGAAAAAGTCACTCGAAAATTGTTTTGAAAAGAAAACCAATTTACAGCTATTTCGCTGAATATGGCATTTAGCAATGTTCTGCTCTGACTCTTGTCTCTCATTCAAACTAAAAGAGACATAAATTTTCGAACGCGACCCCACCTAAAAGCGACAGTTGCAGCTACCATTCAGTATGAATAGCGTTATATGGCAATTGTTCATCATTCTTTAACGAAATTAAACAAGTAAAAATTGCTGAAATATATTATTTGTTTTCTTTCAGAATATTTCTCCAACAGTTTCGCTAAGTTTTTAACAAAATTTACCGTTTCGCATAACCAGCAGATAAAAAACTTTAACTCCGCTTTACGCCACTCTATGACACTTGTCGTATAAGGATATATTAAGTTTGTGCGCATGTATGCAGCACCCAAAAAGACTTCAGATAAATCCAAATTTTATTATACCGATCGATCTAGAATCACATGTTGAATTAAGCTTATCTGTCCGTCTATATGTTTTGTTTGCTTGCGTCCAACGTACAGATCGAAATTTTTGAGATATTTCGATGAAATTCGGTACAATGACATGTTTTGGTCGAAAGACAAACGCTATTCAAAATCATTTGGATCGGATCAGTTTTTCGACCATTTGCACATATAATTTACTTTGCCACACTTGACACTTATTTTCTTCTATATCATCTTATGAATAACTGTGTTGGGCGAAATGGTGTAGGGTATTTAATAGTCGACCTTAATACTCTTACTTGTTTTAAGTATTTAGTTATTAATGTTTTTTTCATTTTCCTCTTTTAGATGTGACTTGGAGACGTCTGCTGTACGTATGGAACGGTACTGCTTAGAAGGTAGTGATGACACAGATGACAGGCACTCTCTTTTGGCGTTTTTTTGTTGCGAAATTTTGAGAATAGTAAATTTTTTTTACATAATATTTTCGAAATAAAGCGTAATATGGAGAACAATCCTGCAAATGGTCCGACATAATCCGTTTTTAGGTTCTGTCGTTAAGCAAAAGTCGTCAGTGTATCAAAGTTCGTTAAATGAATTCAAGTATTGCACTGCACTGCAGAGATTGAGCAGGAAGGCAGACGAATATACAAAAAAAAAAAAAAAAAAAAAAATGATTCGAAATCGATTGCTGTAATAAAAGCAGGAGCAAGTTTAAGTCGTTCTCCTTGATATTTATACTCTTACAGTCAGTGTAACGATACTTTGGCTTGTCTTTAATATATCTGAAAGGCAATGCTTTGTTTTATTGGCTAGAAAAGCGAATTTTTTTCTTTTGTTCGGGAAAATGTTTCTTTGAATCACAATTTAAAATTAAATATATAAAGCTGAAGTTTTAAGCGTAGTAGTCAAAGAGATCATATCCATACAATGGAGACAAGAATGTTTTCCAATTTTCTCTCTTTTTGAAGTCGGTATAAATATTTCACGTGCCAGTTTCAAAATTTTCATGGGTGTTTTCTTTCCGAAGTGCTTTAAACAACAAATTTTCTAATTAGCTAAGGCAGCTGCTAATGATCCGCTTTAATACGCCAGGCTCAAGAAATATTGCTTTATAAGAAAGAAGGGGAAGTTCTTTTATCTTTTCAAATTCACTCCTTATCCAAGATGGTCAGACATGTTCCCAGTACGTTTGTTGTGAAAGTAATTGAAGTAAGTGAAGAATACTGCAACAATCAACTTTAATCTACTCAAGTAGTGTCTTATAGTATACTGTTTTTTAGGGAAATCTTTTTTGATTTGTGGAATTCGCTTTAAGTTGTTACACTTGAGATAGATAATGTTTTTGATATTTTCTCTTAGTCGGCTTAAAAATGATGAACTAACTTGCTTGACAATTTGGCTGTGTTAATTCTAGTGCATATATTTGAATACTTCATGGTATCAATAACGCGAAATGAAAAATTCATTCATAAAATGATGAAAGTTCAGTTTGTTTCATATCAGTAACGCAATTATATTTGCGAAGGCGTAACAAAATTTATTACTTACACTTTGACTTTGACTTTAAGTCACTTGCCTAATATCTGTATATTTTGGAGTTTCATTGAACACAATTTTTATTCTGTTTTTGCTCTTAGCTTTCATAGAAAACGTAGTAACCTAATTGTTTGACCTTTAGTTTTACTAATTATTACTTCCTTTTCATTAATACACTTAGAGTATTCACGTAAAACATATTTAGATTCTTTAGTGCAGGACAGAGGTAATAATTAACGTTTCCTGATATATGTTTAGTTTTTTCTTCTTTTATGTTTTTCTTACCTCAAATAAATGTTCAACTTTTCCCTTGATTTTCTCCTCCTCGGGTAATTCATCTGGCAAACGACCCATCAGTTCGTAAATGGCAGTCACAATATCAGTCATTTCCTCCCTCGTTATGTAACCATCGCCGTTGATGTCGTAGAGTGAAAATGTCCAACGTAATTTTTCTTCAATAGAGCCACGCGACAATATCGAAAGCCCTTGAACAAAATCCTAAAGAATAAAAAAAAAAAAAAAAAAAACAGATGAAAAATAAATAACTACCTTGATATAAACACACACACATATATATATATATATATATATATATATATATATAAAGAAAAATATATGTATGTACGCATATGCATGGATGAAGAAGCGCAAACCAGAGAGAAAAAAAAAAAAAGTAGGAAAAAAAAAGAGTAAAAATAAGAAGAAAATACAGTAATAAACTCAGTAAGAAAGACAAATATTTTCTTAAGAAACAAAGGAAATTTCCCATTTTCTCGAGAGCGTAAAAAAGCACTTGAATCTTAAGTCAGGAATAAATTCTATTTCTTTCTCACAAAAATTTTTTGTTCTTCTACTTTATTACGTCTCTTATATATAATTGATATTTTAGAGAAGTTTTATTATTTCATTTAAAATAGTAAAAGAAAAAAAATAAATAAATAAATAAAAAACATGTTAAAAAACAAAAATTCAAATGAAAAATATTTTATAGTTTAAGGCTTCTTTTCAAATTTCCGAGTAATTTATTTTAATATAACTAACTTTAAAGGAATCTTGATTACTTTTTTTTATGCATGAAAAATGATCAATTAAATTTCTTTAAGCGTGCAAACGATTGCATGCATTATTTTTGATTTTTCCTTTTTGCAATGAAACAAAAAATAAATAAATAAATAATTGGTTTTCGTAGCAAGTCTGAAAATCTCTTTGTATATCATATCCATCCATCATTTCTTGGAGCGCTTCATATGTCCGCATGTTGTTAGCAATCGCTATATATTGGCCACAGTATAATTTACTTAAAAACAATCATAAATATGCATATGATAGACAATACCCGGCCGTTGGCCTCTTAGAAACAATTATTTTTTTTTACAAATTTCATTTTCTTTCTTTTTTTTTCTTTTTTTTCAGAATACTGCTGCAGTTCCCACCCTTTTTGTTTCTTGAAAGTAGTGCTTAATCGATAAACTTACATCACTATCAATAATTTCGCTTATAGCAATAACATTTGCTTCAATCTTCTTTTCATTCCAGAATTTCCACAGTTCAAAGACCTTTATTTTTGATTCGTGGCACTTCTCAATGATCATTATAATGATCACTTACATTTATGTTATACTAATTTTATAAAGCTTCCGCAATAAATTCCGAATTACGACTTGTTTCCAATTACGAAAGTGTATAACCGGAATATACCTCTTGGCTTTGCTTGTTGGCACACGAACATTATGAAGATCATAAGTCGGCATGATTTTTTTTTTTTTTTTTTTTTTGTCGCTTTTTATCATATTTCTATTCATTTCATTTCATTTATTTGATTAAATAAGAAGCAGACTTTTAGAGCGTACAAAAAAATGTAGAGTTGTTTATATTGTACATTCGTACGTTTTCAATATATGTTTATGTCATTACTTTATATAGTAAAAGTAATTTCATTCATGTTATGATAAGTGGATTAATAACATTTCGAACAAAAAAGGGGAAAGAGAAGAGAGAAAAGAAGTCTTTAGTGCTTTTGCAAACAAGATAAAACCAATTAAATAATTTGCGGTTAAAGTCTCACAACGGTAGATTAATTGGGATATGGTGCCTCCACACACACACACGTTGTAGGATATTAAAGTTAATTTCTCTAAGTAAAACTGTTAAAGGAGTTACTATCCTTGCAGTCAAGTCTTCATTTACGAAGACTTCGATTGAAATGGAAGCAGAATGCAATTTAACTGGGACTTTGTCATAGTCCTCGTACGACGGACACAATTAAATCAATATTAGATACATAATTTGGAGACCAAACTATTGACAAGTGCTCGCCTATATGTCTTCAGAGTCTACACCATTTGTGCTTCAGAAACAATAAGTCTGTCTGTCTGTCCGTATGAGATCTTTCTATTTATTTTTTGTATTCAACCGTTATTAAACGCTATTGGCAGTGGCCGAAATATAGACCACTCTCCATATAACGCCTTGCTATAAAAGGTCTGCATTTGAACAACTCTTCGATCACTATACGATCGTGTTGAAGATATTAACCTCTACGTGATCGTAACGGCAACATAGCGTAACGGCAACTTAGCGACTGGAGGGCTTAATAAAAGAGTTTTAGTTTCATGACGAACACGTTTCACATTTGCTCCGTATGTAGTTGCCTTAGAAGGCGACCTTTTTATTGGGACCTGACGGCCCATAAAAGATTAAATAAGAAAAATTTCCCCATTGGCGCAAATTGCATATGTTTTTTCGTTTTAACCTTGTGATAGTCTTAACGCGATAATTCATGTCTACCCATAAGGACATTGTGGGTCTTCTATTTTTATGGGCTAAAAAGTATTTAATTATTATGCCCAGCCGGAGAAAATTAAGATTTCAAAATCAATTAGGCCGCCTCAATGCAATGAATAGATTTTGAGTTATGCGGTAGTCGTCTAATTCACAAGTCCACATCTTGCTAAGCTCGGAATGCATCTGAACGTATATGTAAATTAAAGGGCAATTCGAGATCGAAAGTAACGGGCAAGTCAGTGAAATATGGAAAATTTTTTAATGATTTGCTTAAACATATTATCACCAATCCGGGAAGCTTTTCACATTTATTCAGATTCAATGATATGGTATTAGCTACACTCCAAGCCACGAAGGTTTCTAAATCCTGTTCGTTTAGCAAATGAAAGATAAGACATAAGCTCAAAAGTAACAATGAAGTGAACGTTAGTGCCCAGTATAGTGAAATTAAAATGAGTTGAATTCGAAATTGTCAGTGGGATATTTTGTCGCCTCTGTACAATTATGAAATGAATTAAATTTTTTAGAATTTAGTTGAAAACATCTGATTACTAATCTATGAGAAAAAAATTTTTGATTTTAATTTGATTGTAAATACCGTGGTCGAATGTTATGCAATTAATAAATCATTTAAAAATCAAAATCCAATAAATTAATAATAATTATATTCAAGCGTTGAATCATTATCAAAATTTATACAGACATACTTGGATATTATTAACAAAATGGATAAATTGCTGTGAATAAATTTTGCAACAAATAGTCATAAATTCTAACACATAATTGTTTCGCTTAGTACACAAGTGCTTCTACTACTGTTCAACGGCAAACAATGCCAAAGTAATTACGAAAGTTTGTGATATAATGAAAATTATTTACAGTGAATTAATGCGTAACGGCAAAAAGAGCACAGTTGACTGAATTCTTATAAACAAATGTAGAAATGACTATATATATATATATACGCTTCTGAGAAAAATCACATTGATTAAACGTTAATGGAAAATGATTGTAATTTTCTCTAAATTAATTTCAAAAGTTCGGGGCATAGAATACGTCGTAGGAAAAACAAGCAAGTGAGCAAACTGTTACATATGAGTAAGAGTCATTTAATATATATATATATGTATATATATGCATTTGACACTTAAGTACGCACATTTTATAGTATATTGTTTTGAAAAAAAAAAAAAAAAAAAAAAAAACAAAAAAAAAAAGTATGATAATATATTAAAAATTTATAGTCTTTTTTCCTTCTCATCTGTGCGCTCCAGCGTGCTATTAACGAAAGTATAACAATATAAAAGTTAGCTTTGCCTTGAGCCAAATTTGATGTAATCATTAGCGCACATATGCAAAATATAGGTGGAATGATAAGCGATTGTAGAGAGAGGAAAAATATTTGAACGTAACAACTATAGTCGTCAGATGTAGGAGTAAAAAAAAAGAAGAAACGCGTTGATCGACGAGTTTAATCGACTTTGAATGATTGTTGCATTGGATGCAATGATTGATTGGTTAATATTTTAACTTGACACTTGAATTTACCTCGCCACTGCTACGAGTAATAATTTCTTGCCGGAATTCGATCGCTGCTAAAAGTCGTCTCTACCGAAAGATTAAGTCGAATTTCGAAAAGACAATACTTTAATGTAATTTTCAAAAAGGGAGGCTACTATTAAATTTTGCATAACAACATATTCGCAATAATAAAATCGTTTGAGCCATGCAATCGCAAGCGAAAATCGCAATACTTTCTATTAGTGATAGGCGTATGTGAAGAGTTTTTAGATTGTCTTCTTGCTTATCAAACTGGAATTATATGAAGGTTGGAACTTTAATTCAATTTTCCGGCCAATTTTCACTTTGCCTTGTTACAATGAAAAATGAATCGTCACTATTACGCGGTACGTTTTCATAATTCTTACTGAATATCACGTTTGATTGTCTTTTAACAATTATGCGCGCCATCGACGTACGCTGGCATAATCGGGTTCGGCCGCAGCTTATCTATATTGACAATTGAAATTGTTTAAACAAGGTGGCTCTTGATTGCCAAAAGACAAAGCAAGTTTATATTTACACGTTTGTCGAGTATTGAGTGATTCTTGTTGAACTATGCTATCCTATACGAGGTGTATATTAAGTTAAGTGCATATTAAGTTAATGCGGACATAGGTAATATTCAGAAGGGCATAAGATACACACACTCACTTTTCATTATACCGATCGATTCAGAATTATTTTCTCAATCTGAGTTTATCTGCCCGTATGTCCGCCTGATATGTATCCATCTATTTTTGTATTCAACCTACAGATAGTAATTTTTGAGAAATTTTCATAAAATTTTTGTGCACCGACGCGCTTTTCTTGACCCAAAGACGAACGCTATCAAAAATGCTTCGGATCGGTCCACTTTTTCAACCATTCCCCACATAATGCCTTATTTTAAAAAGTCATTATATCGAAAAAAATTGCCATATTCAATATGATTCGAAAAAACTCTCTGAATAATAGCACTTCAATGTTCTAAACTGATCTGAAAATTTTAGTTCAGCTGGGATAATTTTTTGAAGAATTTTTATACGATAAAAAAAGGTATAATATCCAATATTCCCTAGTACAAAAGAGTTTTTAATAGTAAATTGATAAAAGAATCAACCTTGGTAAATTGGGGCCATGTAAGTCAATTTTTTGAATGCCAATCAATATAA